AAGTCCAGGACCTCTGCACTAGACAATACTAGTGACTGAAAAAAATCAAGCTCCAATACACGTTTCCATGTTTGTGTGGCCATAGCTTTGTGTTCAGATTCTTTTACTCTCATATTCAACCCCCACATGCTCTGGTCCTGGGCTAATTCTGGATTCCACTGTTTTTGGTGGACCTGGTGTTCCTATTTTCCTTATCAGGCAGATGGTCCACACTCATCTTCTGCTTAGTTGCTCTCTCTCATCGATAATCTCTCTCTTGTAAAGGCCAGAGGTAATGAGTTTACTAGGATGGTTTTACTAGAGTGACAAACATAAGTGTCCATCACAGTAACTCAAAGGACATTTACATTAAATGTTTTTTTTAGGAATCCAAAATAAATTAATCACTGCCCTGGTGTAAAGTCAACCAGAAATGTCATGTCAGTACCTTAAGGCTGTTTACTGTTAATGACTATTTTCTTTTTTCAGAAGGTGGGGTAATGTATAATGTTATAAATGAAAAGCTTCTTCCATTTTCATCAATTACATCAATCAAAACAAAATACAACAAAAATATATTACAAAAATTCTTTTGGTAGAACTGCAGTTAAACTTTATAGTTATAAAGAAAATTACTGTTAATCATAAATAGATGAAGTTTGGGCAATGGTGGAACATCAGCCTAAGAGGAAATTGGTGAAATCGAACGTGAAGAAGTCTCAGAATTGATATCACTAGGGCAAAGAGATTAAAAAATTGTGACATTTGGCTAGGAAACAGCAGTGTGGCGGCTGGATTAGGTACAAGCTTCTATACAAAAGAGAGAATAATAGCTGGGTCCCAGATGGATGCAGGCAGGGAAAGGCTGCTAGTTGACATGGGGAAATTGACTATTTGGCCAGGGAATGAAGCCGAAATCAGGAATCAGAGGTTGTTGGTTGTCCAGAAAAAAAAAAAAAAAAAAGGTACCGGTATCCATTTTAAGCTTTCAGGGAAGGAAAAGTTGGGTGGCTCCAAGTTCAGAAAAGGCCCAACACCTGAATTCATTTTATGAGTGGTACTCTATGTTTCCCTTTTGTTTCTTAGGCTTGACATTTTCTTACTTTCTTTTGAGTAGGTGATTCAAATAGGAATTTCCCCAAATTTGTGGAGTGGATACTCTAACAAGAATGCTATTTAATTTCTCTTTGGCCACAGTGTGCACAAACAAACTTAGGTCACTTTTCTTTCATTAAAAACTACAGTTAATTTTGGAGTTTTGGAGAAGGTAGCCAAAATAGATTATGTTTTTGGGGTGCAAAATTGATGAAGGAAATCACTATCAGCGTCTTTTTCACAACTGTTCAACCTCAAAATGCCTTTGGCTCTGAGAGTAGTAGTTGCTAAATTTTGGCTCCTTTTGTCTTTCCAGTCCCATCCCCCATCTCCTCTTCCAGGCCTTGGAATTCAAATGTAGATGAAATGCAAATTATTGGAAGAATGGAAGAAGTGAACGGTTGGGCTGATGAATAGGAAAAGGGGAGAACTTCTAATTTAAGATATTAGTTGTTGTTCTGCCAAGTTGGAAACAGCTCTGACTCCTGATTTGAAAAGTTTTATCTTGAGTGGTACTGATTGTCAATTACCAATTGTTCAGATAAATTTGGAAAAGGAGTAAACTGGCTTATGTTGGTCTCCACCACTGGCTCACAACAGGTAAGACTTGAAACTTACTGCTCGTAGATGTGTAGTATTTTATTGCTTGTGTAAGTTATCTTGCTTGTTTACTACTTAGATAATCTTTAAAATCCATATATTTTACTACTATATACTATTGTGTCTTATGTATTTTTGGCACAATACAGATATTTATCTTGATGTGTTTGGGAATATGATTTCACTTTTATTCTCAATTTACTGGAAAAGTACTTTCATAGAACCCATACTAGTGGTCATGGTAACTACTGCAACACTTCACTATTTCATAAAAGGTGGTATAAATTCAAAGCCATTAAATAATCTTGGGCATACATTTATTACGAGCACTGATAAAATGTTGTTTATATAAAAAAGTGAGGGAAGAAAGCAGAATTCGCTTAAAGTAAGAAAAATTGAACTGATAAGGTAAAATATAAACATAAGCAAAATAGCATTCAATAAACTAGTGGGTGTTTCAGGTCGAGGGCAGATGAGAGAAACAAAGTGGACAGTTGAAGACTTTGTCAATATCTCAGTCACTAGTTGGGTACTTTAGGACCAGTTTCCTCAGCCAGTGTTCTTAATTAAGATGGAAACCAACTAATTGTTGGAGAGAGGTAGCTGGAGCTGAGCTTAGGAGAACAGGTTACTCCTGCTTTGTTATGGAGGTGACCTCTACCCTGTAGATATTCTTTTAATGTTGGTGAATAATCATAGCATCATAAATAAGCCAGGTCATCAGGATTAAATGTCCCATGTAAATTGACTTTTTGGAGTTAGTTTTTTTAGGCTGTAATTCCTTTTCCCCCCACAATGGCGAAAGTCAACTTACCCTAGGATTGTATATAGCTCAAATGTACTGCTTTAGTAAGTATGGTTATTGTGGATGTCTTTCTATCCTTGTTTCTTCTTTCCTTTTCTTGGTAAGAATGGTAGTATTGGAGACTTTAGAGATAATATATTTAACATTACAACCCATTAAGCACACAGTGGAGCACCTTACGAATGCTTAACAAATTCTGTGCTTATAATGGCCACGAGAAAAAAAATGTTTATTTTTATATTTATTTCAGTCTATCGTATATAGGTTTATATGTAAGATGTGCCCATTTTAGGTTGAGGATCCCTTTTTTCTTATTTATATTTTATTACACTTATGTGATTTTTAAAAACCATCTTCTGCAAGTATTTGAGCACTTTTTTTGAGTAGTGTGCCCTAAGTTTTGAGACTTGGCAGATTAAGTCTTAGTCCTTGCCTTCAAGGAGCTTACAATTTAAGCTGATGAATTTGTGTGCCTAGAGAGACAATAATCAAATGCAGCAAATAATGAAATTAAGTGGGAGGATAGAGGTGCTAATGTTTGGAGGAGGGAGAGAAAATTGGCTGGGCCATCAGGGAGAGAGGCAGAACTTGAGAGAGCCTTGACAAAGGAGGTGGGAGTTTTAATTTGTGTTTCTGTTGCTAAAGCATTTAATAATAGGAATTAGATATGTGCGTATTGGGCTTTATTTTGAGTACTAGAATTTCCAATTTACTGAACAAAAACTTATTTCGTATGTAGCGAATGATGCCAGGGCTGGAGAGTCAACTGTGAAGATGAGATCTGGTGGAAGGTTTTAGTCTTGAAATGGACGTGGGAGAGAAGAGTGGACAAAACAGTTAAAGCACCGAGATGAGTGCTGCAGTGAAGCAGCCTGAGTGCTTCAGGAGCCGCGGTAGGAGGGAGTAACTACTTTTGCTCTGGAAGTCAGAAGGCTACTTTTATTTTGAGGTGACCCTGGAGCTGGAGTTTAAGGTTGAAAGGAGTCATTCTAAGGCAGAGGGAATTGCAGGTAGAGGCACCAGCATGAAGAAAACAGTGATTCGATTTGAAGTGACTAAAGAGCAAGAGCTGTGCTCGTTCCTGAGCGTGGGGAGGGCAGGAAACTCAGCGGGGTCTGTGAAAAGCCTTGTGGTTGTTAAACTATATTGGGGCACAATCGAATGGGCTTTTAGGAAGAAAACTGGTGGGAGGAGCCTGGTGACTCCGAGGTCGGTTAGGAACTGGAGCTAGGTAGAGCACCAGGAACCGTGTGGCGGGAGAGGATGTACTGGGAGAGATGTTCGATGGTCGTTTCCAGGTGTAGAGGGGTGGGAGCGAATGTGAAAAACTATCTCTGCAGTGCCCCGCGGAGAAGTTCCGCTGCACTCAGCAGGAAGCTTTGGAGTTGTCGGCTGATTGGGAGAGTAGGGCCAGTTAGCCCCATCCTCATTCCACAAGGATGGGGAAACGTCCAGTCTCCTGGCAGGTGTGCTGTGGAAGCTAGCCATGCGGGTCGTCCCCACTTTGCCCATTTCCCCTGTGAAGTGGAGGAAGGGTCGGCTCATCGCAGTTCGGACCGAGAGAGCATGTCGTGTAGTGGTCCACACTGTTCCCCCCAAAGAGAACCATCATTTACAATTTCCTTCCTTTAGAACCCAGACCTCCCTTAAGTCCAGATCCTGACCCCTTCAACTCCCCTTTGGAGGAGGTGGAAGCTCCAAGAGGAACTGGGAGGCCTGGCGTGGGGGAAGCTGCGGGCTGAGTGGAGGCAGCCGCGCCCTCGCACCGCCCTTGCCTGCGCTGGGATCCCGCCTCCGGCTCCCACCTCCGGCCTGCCGCGGAGCAAGCGTGCCCGGAGCGCGCCGGGCCACACGGCGGGGCACATGGTCCGGTTCCGGGTCTTGGCGGCTGCCGCGGGGGAGGCGGCACGTGGTGGGGCTGGGGGTGGTGGTGGCTCACCTGGCCACACCGCCGGCCCTTTGCCGGCTGGCTTGGCCCGGGAGGGGAAATAGCGGCCGGCTCACGCACGCAGGCGGGAGCTCTCTGCTCTCCAGGACTGAAGCCATGCATTTGTCGCTCGGCCGCTGCCGTCGGGGCAGTGGGCCGCAGACGTGGGCCGGCTCGACCCCACGGTCCCCTGCTGAACTTAGTGCCCGCAGATGCCTGCCCCAGTGGGTACCGGGCCCTGGCATCCCGCACCCACGTCGAGGCAGGCTGGTGGGCGGTGCCCTGGCTGGGTCCGACCTCCGCGAGGGGACTTGGAGAAGCCAGAGCCCCGCCCACTGCTCTCGTGGTCCTGCCCACATCTCGCCGCGACCCCGCCCACCCGCCCCTTGCCACACCCCTTCCTGCCGGCTTGCTTCCCCCAGGCCATCCGCCCACCTCGGCCGGGAGCGGAGCCCACTGCTTCCCTCAGGCGCCCCGCCCCGCCGGCTTCCCCGCCTCTCTCGCGCGGGCAGTCCGAAAACCCGGAGCAAGGGAGTGTGGCTCTGCCGCCCGGCGACCGCACTGAGCATGCTCAGTAGCCGGGGCAGGTTTTTTGGTCGCAAGTAGGAAGATTTTTGCACTACACTGGAGAGGGGGAGCTACGGAGCCAGCCAGCCGCACCACCGTGTATTGCCGCCGCGCCCGCCCCAGCCTGGCCCGGCCCCGCGGCGGGGCGCGATGAGCCCGAGTCCCAGTCGGCCTGCCGGGGAGTGAGCGCGGGGCGCGGAGGGCGCGTTGCGCAGCTGCTCCTGCGCACAACCCCGCCACGGCCGCCGGCCCGCACTGGCAGTGAGTGTGAGAGGCTCCTCCCGGGCACCCGGCGCCGGGAGCGGGAGCAGGAAGCGCAGGCCACGCAGGGACCCAACTGAAACAAAGTGTCGGCCGCCTGGCGGCGGCGCCTCGCCCCAACCCTGCCCCTCCCGCCTGCCCGCAACTCCACTGCCCACCATGGCTTCCGAGGAGCTGTATGAGGTACCTCCCCTCCCCCTCCCGGACCCTCGGGCCGTCCTCGCTCACCACCCTGCGCCGCCCCTGCCCGTCCGGGGCAGTGTCCACTCCACGGCCCGGCTCTGCCACCCGGTACCCGCCTCGCCGTCTTCCCCCTCCCCCTCCGCGGCCACAGTTTGCTGGACGGGAACTGTGTGCGAGGGGAGTCGGAGCCACGCTGCCCCCGGGGCCCGTCGGGCGTGGGGGGGGGGGGCTCCCTGGAGTTGTCAGGCTCCTGGGGGTGGGGGGTGCAGGCGGTAGGGAAGTAGCGCTTGCACGAGTGACTTGCTCAGACTGAGCCCAAAGTGTTCTTGGTAAGGGTGATGGCTGTGAAGACCCTGTTACCGCTTGGTGGGATCTGTGGGCAGTGCGGGGGTGTTTTTCCTGTCCATTTAATAAAGCATTTTGGAGAGGGCTTTGCCTCTGGCTTTGGGGGCGGGGGGAGGAGCAAGAGGAAGAGTGCAACTGTCTCTAGACTCTGCTGCTAGCCAAAGCAATGCAAAATACCGCACGGAAAATGCTAAACGTTGACCACATGCTTTAATTAGGTTAGAATTGTGGCCAGAGTCAGGAAATTTAAATTTAACGCTGATACACCATCATTCATTTGCGCCGCAGCGTTGAAAGTAAGAAGGGGCACAATCAGAATTCTTTTAGTTATGGGCAGTGGTTTTGCCAGCTTCAACTTAGGAGTTATCAGTTTGGATCTTTAGACATATTTTGTATGCTTCGATGTAACTTCTTGATGAATTTCAAAGTAGACTTCCTGGGAGCGCAGAAGCTTGGAAGGCTTTCAGTTCTTTTGGATATGAGTCTTCTCTTTCACATATACTTATGAATATATCTTCATAAAGGACTTAAAACTTCTGGATACTCTCTGGATTCACCTTTATGATGTGTTTAGGGACCTGCGTGTGTAGGGACTTAACTAAGTGTCTGTAACAGTTAGAGCCCCTTGGCCCTCGTGAAAGAACCCTTAAGTACCAGGTGAGCCCTTTGAGGTGTCTCCTCTTGTGGGCATATTATTGCTATTGGCACAGAATGGAGCTCTATTGCCAACAATTACAGCCTTCTAACAACTTTTGGTTGTTTAAAAACAAGTGTTGGCAAGGTTTTTAGGAGGAGGCTGCCTTCTTTAGAATTAATGGTAAGGTTGTTGCCTCCCCTTAAATTGTATATGGTTAGTGTACCTTAGCTGGCACTGAAAATGTTCCATTCTGTTCAACCACTTTATACAATGGCAGTACCCTACTGTATTCAGGATGCCACCTTGGATCATTTGGGTATGTAAAAGGGAAAAACACTCCTTGTTCTCAGGAAGCTTCCCTTCTAGGAAGAAAAATGTTGTGTATGGGGAAGTTCCAGAAGCAGAGGCTAAGATGCAGAACATCTTCCAGGCTAAGATATATATGGGAAAGTACACAGTATGAGGATGTGAGGGGTTTTGGTTTCTCCATTAGATTATTCTTTAGTAGTAAGTTTAGGCTTGAGTATTCATTCTTCATTTTTGTGATTATAAATGCACAGTTACTTAGCTCATTTCGTTAGTGTTTGGGTGGCACTTTATACATAAGTTGTATCTTACGTGTATAAAAAAAATGATCCTGAAAGCAGTACGTGTACTACCAGTGTATAAGGAATTACATTTAGTTCTTTCTTTGCTGCTTCTGTATTTTCTACTCACTACTTTCCTGGCAGAATTCATTTATAAGACAAGTTTTGTACAAAGTTTCTATTAATTCAGCATGTTTATTGAATGCCTGTCATGGAGATTTCATGGGGATATTCGAATGGTTCATACCCTCAAAGAGCGTCTATTGGGGAAGAAATAAATACAGTGCAAAGGAATGATACACCTGTACAATTGAATTTTTGATTCTGGGTTTTGTTTTAGTTTTGAAAAAGAGTTACAGGAGTATAGTTGAGGTGATAGTAAATAATATGGTGAGCAGTATCTTTCAGGGTAAGTTTTTTAAGTTTTCCTTCACTTGTAGGAAACACTATGGCCATATTATGATCGAAAGTTGCTATTTGAAAGTTCCACATTAGTGGTTGAGAACCTGGATTTAGAGTCAGAGAACCTCTTTATTGAATCCCAACCCTGTCACCTTGGGTAAATTAATCTTGAAGGCTTAGTTTCCTTGTCTGTAAAATTGGGATCAATGTTTATCTCACAGAGCTCTGAAGTTTGAATGAAAAAATACATAAAGCATGCCCCCACAGTTCCCATAGTGAACACTCAATAAGTGATGGTTATTATTTTAACTAATCTAACATGCATCCCTGAAGCCTGGTTTTGTTTTCTAAAGACAGAATTGTCTGCTTTTTAAAAAATCAAGAAAGTATTATTTGTGAGGCAGAACTGATATGCAGTTAGTTGTAAATGAACACTACCAGGCTGACAAGCTGTTTGACAAGGCTGGGGAGAGCACTGAGGTACTTTAGTGGCCAGTCATGGGACATTAGTTGCCTAGTTTTGTCCAATTTTGCCTAAATCGAAACAGAAGTTTCATATTTGGCCTTAGACTCCATAATTCTAGAGGAATATGTTGAGACAAAAGAGGAAGTTTAAAGCCTTGCTTTTTGAAGTAAGGTGGTTTGGTAAGAGCAGAGATCTGTAGTAGCTATGTGAACTTGGGCAGGTTAGTTACTTGATTTCTAAGCCTAGATTTTCTCATCTAAAAAGAAATGAGATCTCCCAACACTTAGGATGGTATCCAGTATATGGTAATAGGTCCTTAGTAAATATTTAGATGGTTATTGTAATTATGCCTTGTGAATAAAAAAAAAATAAGCGATCAGACCCTAGACAAGATGGGGTGGAACATCAACCTTCCAAAATTGGAAGAGCTACTGTTAGTTGAAGGATACAGTAGATTTACTCCCTGTATCACCAGCAGTTAGGGTTAGGGGAGACAGATTTTTGACTCACTCTGTTAAGAGTTTACTAGCTTTCATTAAAAGACAAGCATCCTTTAGATCAGGGATCCACACACTATGACCAGATAGTTAATGTTTTAAACCTTGTCGGCAGTTGTAACTACTCAGCTCATCAACTATAAACAATGCCTAAATGAATGAGCACTGTATTCCAGTAAAACTGTGTATGGACAGTAAAATTCAAAATACATATAATTTTTACATTATGAAATACTCTTTTTAAAAATCATTTAAAAATGTAAAAATTGCCTGGCTGGTGTGACTCAGTGGTTGAACGTCAGCCCATGCACCAAGAGGTTGCCAGTTCGATTCCCAGTCAGGACACATGCCCACGTTGTGGGCCTGATCCTCAGTGAGAGGCGTGCAGGAGGTAGCCAATTGATGTTCTCTCTCATTGATTTTTCTATCTCTCTCTCCCTCTCCCTCTCTTTTTCTCTCTCTAAAATCAATAAAGAAAAATTATTTAAAAAATGTAAAAACCATTCTTAGTCCATGGGTTCTACAAAAACAGGCAGTGGGCTGAATTTGGACTGTGAATCTTAGTTTGCTGACCTCTGTTTTAGGTGATCTGTTCTGGAGCTGAGGTTTACTCTGGCTTTGGGGCATATGGAGGGTCTGCTCCATTCCTAGCTCTAGACCTAGAACTAGAAGTTCTGGGTTCCACTCTTTCAATATGTGGACTGAATAAGGACTCAACCTTTTAATAACATGGAAGAAGCATGCTCCTCATTTGTATATCTTAAATCCTTTTTTTTCTCAGTGAGTGTGGGGTTTTCTCTTGAGAACGACTATAATAGCTAATTTAAATTTCATAAAGATCGTAGTGATTTAATCTCGGCCTTTTGAGAAAACATTTATCCAACACATGCATGTTTTAGTTAATCAAAAATGGAAGTAAGCTTTTAAGAATGAATTTGTACCTGGTTTATTTAAAAAATGTCTTAAAGTTGATTAGTTTGGAAGATTAACCAGGATTTGGGGAGAAAGGGAAGATTTGAATTTCCTTACTTTGGGATAAGATTACTTCTTTCTCCTTTGTACCACAGGGATTTTATGTACATTGACCAAAAGCACAATTATAAATAAAATCTGCACATGTAGTTCAAATGGAAGTCACAAAGATCAGGAGACTGTCTATGAATGTTGGTTAAGATAAAACAGTGTTGTTTGTGGTGTAGCTGGCTCTTAAAAGATTGAGATCACCAAAATTAGAAAAGGAGGAGAGTTATTTGACTTCTGAAGTTGAGGGGCAATAAAGTAAAATGTGTGTGTATTTTGAAAATTAACACACTATCTTAAATATGAACTGTTGAGAATATTATTTATTTATTTTCCTTTATTGATTTTAGAGAGAGAGGAAGGGAGAGGGAGAGAGACATAGAAATATCAATGAGAGAGAATGTTGATTGGCCGCCCTGCATGCCCCTCACTGGGGATTGGGCCCACAACCTGAGCATGTGTCCTGACTGGGAATCGAACTGGTGACTTCCTGGTGCATGGGTTGACGCTCAATGATTGAACCACACCGGCCGGACAAGAATATTATTTATTAATTTGCCTAAACAATGGTATAGAGGCATCTCTTGTGCTTTTCCTTTGAATTTGCTTTCAATTCTTGTGGACTAGAATAAGTCTTTTTCTGTTCTTGCTGTGATATCTAAGAATCATTGACTTTTTCCTTATGCTCTATAATGATTTTAACCATTGAATATATTTTCATAGTATATAGGAAATAATTTATTTGCAGCATTCTGATTCACGGGTTTGAATATCTGTGATACATAAAGCTAATGTGAGTCAAAAGTTTGTGAATAAGGAGTAATCGTTTTATATTGTGTGTGTTTGCAGGTGTAGCAGTATCGTCTTGGGTACTTTTAAAATACAAATTCTTTGGGTCAGACCATGAGATTGTAGTTTTCAGTGTTTGGATAGAGAAAGGAATCTGTGTTCCAATAAGCTTCTTTCTGGAAAGCAGGTAAATTTAGGAGCCTCTGGATTGCAATGGTCTGTATTTCTGACACAGGCTACAAGTTTAGGTCTGGAGG